TTGTATTAAATCTGTAAGAATTTTGGAAGTAAGGCCATTTTCACTGTATTGGTTTTCCCTACCCAAGAACAAGGACATCTTTCCATTTTCTGATATCTTCTTTGATCTCCTTTTTCAGAGTACTGTAGTTTTCAATGGAAAAATCTTTTACTTCATTGAATTGATGCTTAGGTATTTAATTTTTTAAAAATGTATTGTGAAAGATGTAAATGTATTGTGATTTAAAATGTATTGTGAAAGATACCTGATTTTTCAGGTATGTATTGTGATTTTAGTTTAATGTATTGTGATTTAAAATGTATTGTGAAAGATACCTGATTTTTCTTTCACTAAGTTTATTATTCATGTACAGGAAGGCTGTTGATTTTTTGAGTGTTGACTTTGTATCCAGCTATGCTACTGAATTTGGTTATTACACCTAGAAGTCTTTTGGTGGCATTTTTGGGGGTTTTCCATGTACGATATCACGTCATCAGCAAATAATGATAATCTAACTTCTTCCTTTCCTATCCTTACTCCTTTTATTTCTTTCTTTTATCTAATTGCTTCAGGTAATGTTTCCAGTACTGTATAATCATATATATTCATGATTATTATATCTTCCACTTAGATTGTTTCCTTTACCTTCTTTGTGTCTATTAATCAGCCTTGGCTTGAAATCCACTTTGCCTGCAAATAGAATAGCTACCCGTGCTTTTTTCTGGTTTCCTGTTGCATGGAGTATTGTTTCCATTGTTTGACTTAGAGTCTATCAGTTTCTTTTTGAATCAAATGTGTTTGTTGTATACAGCATATTGTTGGATCTTGATTCTTGATCCATTCTGCCGGTCTGTTTATTTTGATTGGTGAATTGAGACCATTTATATTGGTGGCTATAACTGATATGTATTGACTTATCCTTGTCCTATAATTTTCCTGTTGTTGGTTCTTTTTTTTCGTCCCCTATGTTTAATTATTTGCCTTGCCTTTTGGATTTATTCTGCTGGGGTTCATGAAGTTGTAGCCCTTGATATGTCTTTCTAGAATTTCCTTCAGGATATTTTGGAATGTTGGTTTGGTGGTCTTGAATTTCTTCAGGTATTCTTCGTCATGGAAAAATTTTATTTCTCCATCAATTTTAAAGATAAGTTTTGCAGTGTTATATCAGTTTGGGTTGGAGATTGGTTTTTTTTTTTTTTAGCTCTTCAAATATTTCCCTCCACGCTCTCCTTGACTAGAGGGCTGTGTTGAGAAGTCTGCTGTAACTTTGATCTTTCCTTTATAGGTGATTTTTTTTTTCTGTAACATCTTGTAATCTGTTCTTGTGTTGAATTTCTGGAATGGTGACTATTATATGCCTTGTGGTAGATTTTTTTTTGCTCATGGCTAATTGAAGTTCTGTATGCCTCATTTAACTGTACATCAAATTCTTTTTCCATGCTTATTAAGTTTTCTGCCATTACTTCTGTGAGCAGGTTTTTTATATTGTTTGACCTATCTCCTGCCATTTCATTGACTCTGGTCAATCTTACATTAATCTTCTTTGCATCATCTAGCAGCTGTTGGATTAGTTTTTTATGGTTCCTTGTATTTTTAAATCTTTCTTTTCATGGTTGCTAACTGCAATCCTGCCTTCTGTGTCTGAAATTCTGTCCTTGCATTGGCTCATTCTGCTGTGTAGACTTTCAGTGGAATTTTTCATCTCCTGGATATCTGCTTGAATCTGTTTCATAGATTTCATTTCTTTTCTATGTTGTACATCCATGTTTTCCATCAATTTCCTAAGCTCCTCTATTTTTTAAAATCTGTATCTGTTACAGAGTCACTAAATATGTCTTTCATTATGGTCACCATCTCTGTAGTTATCTGGTATACTATTTGTCATTTGAATTTTTTCTAGAACCTCATTCATCTGCTTTGCTACTTCCATTGTTACCACTTCTGAGAATCCACATGGTTGGCTTTCAGATTGATCTACCTCATTGTCTTCTGAGTTTGCCTTTAATGAGCTGGAAGTCTGGGGTTGGATCATGTTTAAATGTCTTGACATTTTCTTTTTTTCTTTTAGTTTAATTGCTGGGTTGATGCTTCTAAATTGCTTATGGCAGTTGAGTTTATTGCTAGTATTTAGAACTCTTAGGAAATGACTTCTCAGAGATGTCTTCCAGGTATAGCTGGCTTTTGGATTTTGAGCCTGTTGTAAAATAGTACCTCTTCAATTTACTGTGATGAGAAATTCTTGCCTATTTGGCTTAGCCCTTGATTCTTTGGCACTGGCCTATAGTATTGTTTATGACCCTTACACATCTCAATCTTGGGTTAGATTAGATTAGAACAATTATGTCAGCTTGGCTAAAGAAGTATAATCAGAAATAACAATAACATGAAAGAGCCTAGAAGATGACAAACTGTGAGAATTATTAATTTCTCATCTTTAACTATATGAACTATACTTGTGGTTATATAACAAAATCTGAACCAAACAGAAAATTGTATATAGTAAATATGCCCTCAGTATGGCAATTTTTCCCTCAGGGGTGAAAGTTTAAAAGAGATTAGGGGAAAATAGAGAAATAGAGAAAAAGGAGAAGGAGAAGGAGGAGAAGGAGAAGGAGAGGGGGAGGAAAGGGGGAGGGGGAAGGGGAAGGGGGAGGGCAAGAATGAGAAGGGCAAGAGATTGGAAGCAAGGCTGGAGGACCAAGGAAGATCATTTGAACTTTGTGATACTGGTAAAGAAGACAGGATAGAAAGAGAGAAGAAAGAAATGAAAAAAGTGGAACAGAACGACAAGAACAAAATAAGAAACAATACTCGCACTCATATAAAAACAAAACAAACAAGCAAGAAATAAAGAAAACAAAACAAAAACAAGAAAATAAGCAAAGAAGAAAAGAAGAAAAAAATGTCCACTTCACGGTGTGTCTCTGGTGTTACTGGTAGAGTGGGCAGACATCACCCAGATCTGTGTTGTTTAATCCCAGTGAGGCAGCCATAGATTTAGTGGTGTAGTGGATAATCCCAGCAAGCCTGTACCTTTCATCCTACTGAGATCAGGCTGGTTTCTGGCTGTGAGCTTGGAACCTGGTTTGTTCAGCCTGCAGCACTCTGTATGTCTCCTGTTGGCTTGAACTCAGCTTTCTAGGGGCTTGAACTCAGCTCCTTGACCTCCTGCCCACTTGAATGGAGTTCTGCCTCACCCTGACAGTGGGAGTTGCTAGATGGAGCGAGCCCTCAGCTACTCTGAGTTCCCAGCTCAATTGGCCCCTCTCCAAGTCTGCTACTGGCCAGTCGCCCTCTGGGAGGACATCTGAACCTGAGTAACTCAGCAGCCATTACTGCCTACTGTGTCTCCTGCTCCATTTCACTGTTGTGTTTCTCTGTGGAGGCCTCTGGTGTCACTAGTAGTTACCCATTTCCAAGATTCTTAATTTCTGGAAGATTGTCCACTTATCATTTTTTTTCTCTCATTTGATTCAAATCACAGATTCCCAGGTCAAAGATGCTTCATTTGTGTTAGTTTGCTAAGGCTGCTTTATCAGATGCCAGTCATGTAGTGGCTTAGAACAAGACAAATTTATTATCCTGTACTGTTCTAATTCAAGTCTGATGTGAGTCTTACTAGATTAAAACCACGGTGTTGGCAGGGCTGCTTCCCTCTGGAAGCTCCAGGATTAATTTGTTCCTGTGTCCTGTCCAGTCTTTTGAGGTCACCCAAACTCCTTGACTAGTGGCCATTCCCCACCTTCAAAGCCACCGATGTCACGCCAACTTCTCTGAGTCTGCCATCTCCCTGGCTGTGTCTCTTCTACTTTACCTTTCTACTTACAAGATTCCTTGTGATTGCATTGGACCCACCTGGATAATTTGAGATAATGCAGATTTCATTGATAGCAGAGCTTTTCCAGATGAGGCTGGAAAAGGAGATAGACAACAGTGAGGACCTTTATCCTGGAGCCAGTGGGAAGCCAAATGTGGAGTGATACAATCTGCTGTACACTTTAAAATGACCAGGCCACAGGAAGCCAGGGATGCCCAGGTCTTGCAACACATGCATATGGGAGGCCTTCCTCTAGCTGTCCGCTGCGGGTGGACCTCCTGCTTGATCTCTATGCTTCTGCAGCTGGGCTCCCCTGGTGTTAGGAGTATGTGTCTCCATCATCTCTTTTTGGTCTGCTTTGGTTGTCTCAGGTGTTATTTCCAGGGTTTTTCATTGTTCTTAGTAGGGAGTAGCATGAGACTGTATGTATTATGTTGGCTGTACTAGAAATGCTCATATTTTCATTACATGCTCCCAAAAGGTATAGATGTAACCTCCCACCCGGATGTTAGCCTCTTATTTAATTCTTAGTTCCACTTCTTTTTCACATGCATATCTAAAGTCTTGATACAGACAATATAGGAGATGCTCTTTCTCTTTAAGTAAATTCTAGTTACATACAGAATTATAAAAAACCTGTGACTTAGAAAATGGGAGATTTGCTCATATATGGTGTTTTAGTTTCATGTTATCTTTTCCATTTCCCTTCAATTAGAACTCTGCCAGCTTCTCTAACATATTGTGGTCTGTTACCTGCCCCTCTGTAGGACAGGGAAATGTTAAGGTGACCCATGCTCTACCCCTTGGCCAGAGTTAAATGCCTACTAAAGACATCCAACAGCACAGAGGCAACTGCCTAACACTGCAGGTACCAGGGATAATACATCTTTGAAGAAAACAGTCTTATTAGTAGGTAGCAGGCTTTTCAATACAGATAAATAAGAGGTGGCCAAGCAGAGCATTCCTTTTGAAAGTGCTGGTTTGAGGTTATTATCTGTTCTCCAAAATGAACTTGAGTAGGAATTAAGCTCCTCTGTCTTCTTTTTAAAGTTGTTGTAGGCTTAGAGTTGATTTTAAGTAAATTTCATTAGATCCCATTAATGTCAATCAAACCTTAAATTAAAAAATAATTTTTAGAAGTTGGGAAATAATTGGATAAAAAAAGTCACCACAGAGAATTTTAAATGACTGTGGGTTTGTATTCATGTTAAAAGCAAAATCTTGAAAACAGTGACTCCCCTAACCTCCCTCTGATTTTTTGCCTAATTACCAAATATATCCACTTTGCTAGAATTGCTTTTAAGGAAATAGTCTTCAGTAAAGAAACAGCTTGGATGGAATGTTTAAATGAAATTCAACCTGTGATAAGATTTGATTCCATAGTGTCCTTCAATCGCTTTTACGTAGGACCTGTTTTTTTCTTTGGATCTAGGAAACCCTTTTAATGTGGACACTCAAGGCCTCGGCAGTGTAGGGCTTGCCCAGGAGTTGTATAGGGAGATGAGTGGGTCACACGCCCACCTCTAGCCCTGGGAGTGGATACAGGGTGATGAGGGCTCCCCCAATCAGTCCAAAAGGAGTGCCAGAAGAGTGGCCAGGTGGGGACCAAAGGATCAGACTTTGTGAAGGTATCTGAGCCAGGAGGTGAGTGCCTTGGCCAGAGCCTGGACCAGGGAAGTAGTGGTGTGGCCTGACCAGGGACGGTCATATCCCAGTGGGTGGCGTCACTGGGGCTTCTCAGAGCTTCTACCGAACCCTGGTGCTTGCTTGTTAGTTGGACTCCAGTGTAGAGGTCATTCATCCTTTATAGCTGGTGCAGTCAGGGGTTGATCAGGTCCAACATGGAGTATTCTGCTTTGCCAAAGCCACCATGCTCACCTTCCATGCCTGCCTCCCCTGTCATGCCGGGGTTCCTGTTGGGACGCATCGTGCTGCTCAAGCGCTCTGAGGGCCTTGCAGCTGTGGATCACAGTGACTGTCATGCCAAAAGGTTGCACAGGCAAGAGGTGGAGGCAGAGAATGAAACACAGGGAAGGGTCACTGAGACTAATTTAAGTTCATCAAATGGAGAGAACTGTAGAGTATATGGGGAAAAAGTCCATCCTACTGTTTTCTTTTTAAACAACCTTTTATCTAAGGGAGTAATTTTCAGATTGAGGTGGGAACACCCCCATGGCGAATCTGCCTGTGGCAGTTGACATTCTTATATTTCTCAAATTAGTAATCTACTTAGAGTCCATACTGACGTCTGCGTTGTGACAGCCAGCTCAGTCTTCAGGCTGAGTCCTCATCCCAATCTGCGGTTCTTGTCTTCTGCCATTCACGTTGTACTTTGAAACTCTTTCTTGGAGTCACCTTGATTCCTCACTACTTTGGTTTCCTTGGATTTGAAACCAAAAATCAACACTACAGGCATATGTATACAAGGATAGTATGGTACCAGGCATTTTTCACATAGGGGTAATTTAGAAATTTATCAAAGAGACTCAAATGAGTCATTAGAATGACAGTGAATTTTACACATTGTTGCTTAGAACCTGTGTAGGTTTTTCATAATCTTTGTACGTGAAGCATGACACTTTTCCCCACTGAGCTTTTATCACAAGGTAAAGTGGTTGTAGTAGAATTTAGTGATAAGTATAATGAGTAGAAATGTCAGTTCCGTGACTTTGTATTGGTGAATTGTTGGACCAAGTGAAAAACATCTTTCTAAATGCATCATTGAAAGGCAATAAAAGTTGTTCCTTCAAAAATTGAGTTGCTTAACTTATTTGTTTTAAGGAAGATCTTGTTCTTCTTTTTTATATTGATAAGATGTAGTTAATGAAAATGTTTATTTTCATGAATTATCACTCTTCTAAAAGTCTTGGGAATATGTTCATATTTATTTATTCTGCAGCATGGCATGCAGCTGTACCAGAATTATATGCATCCCTATCAAGGTAGAAGTGGCTGCAGTTCTCAGAGTGTATCACCTATGGTAAGGACTACATTTTGGCACCTATATTTTACATTTAGATTATATTAATTTCCTATTATATTATTCTTATATATTATAATACATTTATTGTTTCCTTTTGGTCAAATAAAATAAAATAGGTTGAATAATGTTGTATTGAATTTGGATTTTATCTATTATTGAGCCTATGTGATAAAAGTCATAGTAGTGTATGTGAAGTATTGAATTAATATAGAGAGTATTTTATGTTAATGAATTTTTTTTTCCATTTTAGAAAGAATTACATGAGTGATCCTGTGTCATTACATCATTTGAGGTTTAAATCTTTTTTGTTGTTTTTTCCAATACTGGGGATTGAATTCAGGGCCTCACGCATGCCCTGCAAGTACTCTTCTGATAAGCTACATCAGCAACAAGGATTAGATGTTAATAATATACTTCACAGAACATTTTTCATGAAATTATAGATTATGTTTTCTTAATTATTATTTTTGTCATTTGGCTTATTTATTTATTTAGATAGGGTCTGTCTATGTAGTCCAGGCTGGTCCTGAAGTTGCTGTGTAGCTAAGGGAGATCCTTGAACTTGTGGTAATCTTCCTGTCTCAGCTTGCAGAGTACTGAATTACAGGCATGCACCACCACACCTGGCTTATTTGTTTTAATATTGATTTTGGGATTGCCACAACATATAATGAAGATGCCAGTGACTTAGAATTTTAAAACATGGATTTAACAACATTTGAGCTCTTTCCCAGTTTCATAACAGTAATTCTTTTTTAAGTTCTAGGTCCTTAAAAAGCAGACAGACAGCTTTCCAGGAAACCCAAAAACTACAAACTGTAATATAGGTCACACATTATATTAACTCTAGCGCTGCTTCTCAGATTTTTACAAAGTGTAACTTGGATATCTATTTGCAGACACATGAAGGCACATTTTTACTTTCTTTAGGTCCTAATTTTAATTTCCTGTGCATTAACACAAGAAATTTCTGTCTGAATTTAAGTTTATGTTCTACTATTTTTGATATACTCTTTAATATTGAGTGTATTAGAAATTCATATGTATGTGCCTATGTTACAAATTAGTTACTGTGCATTTTTGAAACCTACGTTTCCACTTAGGTTTAAAATATGCTCTTCATGGCGGTGACCAAGGAAGGTGCATTTACCCCACAAGTAATGCAGCAGGTGAAACGCTCAGTTCTGAGAATGAGGCATGAAATGATGTTGATTATGAAGCCTGACAGACTAGGTAGAAGAAGAACTCCAGTGCTTTTGTTATGTTGCCTTAAATTATGCAAGAATAACTTTTCATCTTTGTGTCATATTACTCTTAAGCCCTAAAATAAGAACCTAAGAATGTAATGAATTTTCATAAAAGCAATCACTTTAAGGTGAATATTTTCACCGTTTGTAAGCTTATTCTTATCTTTCAATCCATATATATGTAAAAAGAATAATGAATTTTATTACCTTAATCCTGTCCTAAATCCTTCCGATTTCTTTTAGAGTCTGAAGTTATTAGGATGAACATGTTAACAGCAGCCGAACATTTGGAGGCAATTATTATTTAGTGTTCTTTTAACCATTGAAAAAACTGTTATAAACAAATATTTTCTATTCTCATCACTGTCATTAGCATACAAATATAATGTTACTCACAGTTTTCCATTGAAAGTGGTCCTGCTGTTGATAAAGGTATATAAGTGTGGCTTTATTTGTCCAGTACCACATATGGGAAGATGCACTGTCTGAGTAGGGATCATGTGAAGAAGAGATTTAGTGCCTGTGTGGTAAGGACCTGCTCTGCAGTTGTTATGATCAGAGAGTACCACTGGGCATTTTTATCTATAGTATTCTTAACACGTTCACAACAGGGCTTTAACTTGTATGTCTTGCTGCCAGGCAGCTCTGAACTACCAGTAGTACATGCATTACTATCCCATTGGGCACCATGGGACAGTCCTGTCATACAGCACAAGACATATGATGTCTTTAACTCTTTCAGGAAAATACCCAGAAGGGGAACAGTTGGGTCAAATGGAATTTTTATTTTTTTGAGGTATCTCCCTACTGATTCCTATATTGCATGTGCTACTAGATTACATTCCCATCAAAACTGTAGAAGGGTCCCCTTTCTCCATACCTTCCCCAGCATTTTTTTTAAAATTTTAAATTAGTACAGGTGTGTAGTGCATGTTTACATTCCTTCTGAGAAATTTGTACATGTACACAACACATCTTAATTCTTTTTTCCATCCCCTTTTCCTTCCCTCCCTCTCCCTTCCACCCATCCCTTGAGCCTCTTCCTTTTTTTTTTTTTTTTTGTACATGTGTGCAGTATATCATGTTTATATTTCTCCTGTGGAGTTGGTACCTGTACACAACACATCCGAATTCCTTTTCTTCATGCCTCCCTCCCCCTTCCTCAGTCTCTTAATGACAGCCATCCTTTCTGGAGTAAGGTGGACTCTCAGTGCTGTTTCCATTTGCATTTATCTGATGGCCAAAAGTATGAACGCTTTTTCATGTACTTCTCTGTATTTTCTTTGCACTTGATTGCTTAGAAGTGGCTATTCATTTCACTTGCCCATTTGTTTGGTTGGGTCTGTTATTTGGGGGATCTAATTTTTTGAGTTGTTTATATATTCTAGATATTAGTCTGTTGTCCAAAGAGTAGCTAGCAAAATTTAACTTCCTATTCAGTAGGTTTTCTCTTCACTCTGTCCTCGTTTTGTGCAAAAGCATTTTATTTGGTTCTTACTGGTATTTCTGTGCAAGTGGTCATCAGTTCAGAAAGTCATTGCTTGTGCCTATGTCTTCAAGAGTTTTACCTATTATTCCTTCCAACAGATCAAGTGTTTCTATTTTAATATCTAGATATTTGATATAGTTTGATTTTATCTTAGTACAGGGTATGAAATATGGGCCTAGATTCAATGTTTTGCATGCATACAGCCAGTTTCCCCAGCACAATTTGTTAAAGAGGCTATATCTTTACCCTAGTGTATGCTTTTGGCTCCTTTGTCAAAAATCAGATGGCTAAATGATCTTGTGGATTGTATCTGCATCCTTTGTTCATTTTCAGTGATCCACATCTCTGCTTATGTGTGAGTGTCATGCTGTTTTTATGACCAGAGGTTTGCAGTATAACTTCAAATCTGGGATTGTGCTGCCTCCTGGTTTGCTCTTCTTGCCCAGGATCGCTCTTTCTATTCTAGGTCTGTTCTGGTTCCATTTAAGTTTTAGGAATTTTTTTCTAGTTTTATGGTGAATGCTGTTGGGATATTGATTGAGATTGCATTTAATTTTTATATCAGTTTTAAAAGTAAGATCATTTTGACAGTATTGATCCAATAATATACAGGAGATTATTTCAATTCTTTTGTATTTGTTTAAGCATACTTTATGGCCCAAAACGGGTCTATTCTGGGAACAGTTACATGTGCCGCAGGAAGATGTGCATTCTGTGGCTGAATGAAACACTGTCCATATCTGTTAAATCTGCGTGTTCAGTGGTGTCTTAACTTTGAAACATATGTGCAGATTTTTTGTCTGGTGGACCTAAATTGTGAGAGTAGGGTGTTGAAGTCCCCTAGTATGGTTGTATTGGTGTCTCTCTGTCCTGTAATGCTCAGTAATTTTCGTTTTATGGAATTTGGTGCACCGACATTCAGTGCATACATATTCACAGTTGTGATCACCACCTGCTGACTTGTTTGCTTTACTTGTATGTTGTAGCCATCTTTCTTTCTCCTGATCAGTTTTGACTTGAGGTCTATTTTGTTTAAAAATAGCTATTACTGCTTGCTTCTAGGCTCCAGTTACATGGAGTATCATTTTCTATCCTTTCACCTTTAGTCTCTGAGCTGCCTTTTGGATGAAGTGTGTCTCCTGTAGGCAATATATGCTTGCATATCTTTGTTTCTGATTCAATTTGACAGTCTGTGTCTTTTGGGAAGTTGAGACTGTTGACATTGAGAGTTAATACTCTAACACATTCACAATGGGGCTGTAATTCGCATGCCTTGCTGCCTGGCAGCTGTAATTTGAAATACCATTGTCTGATGTTGAATAGCTAGCCACCGGTGGTTCAAGCGGCCTGATGGGACAGTCATGTGTGTACCACCGATGGTTCAAGCCAGCAGGAATGTGTTTAGATGTTTACAGAGTTCTGTCATTGAATTATTCTCTCAGTGAGGGTAGAGGTCAAATAGTCTACTGGATTTAGTGCCAGAACTTTCGGAAACATACTTTTCTGAATACCACACACAAACAGCATACCTCTCACAACAAGGGATGGGACCTCTGTGTCCTTCCTGCCCTAAGTCCACTGCTGCCCTGAGTCAACTTCGCAGGGAGTTCTTGGCTAGCTCAGCTTCTCTTTGCAACTGACTCTGTGGCTGTTTCACAACCAGTTACTTTGGTAAGGTGACCCCAGAAACCCTGAAGTGTAGTTGTTCCATAAATTCTGATTCCCAGAGTAGCTCAGTCTCAAACAAACTCTTTCCCAAATGGCCTCCTGATTAATCCCTCCCAAATGTATGGCAAGTGCTGCAATGCGTTTCTTCTCCAACTGTAGCTTGTCATGCAGAAGAAGCCATTTGCACAGTAAAATCCTACACTGTACTTCCAGTTCACAGTCACTATGAGCTTTTCTAGGGATGGCACTGCTGGCCCCATCCCTGGGGCTGCCGACCCTCTCCGTGCTTACCTTGTGTTTCGGGAGACAGGTCCCCCACCCTGTGAGTTGGGCTCAGCCTTCCAGACTGCTTCATTTTTTTTCTTTGCATTGATTGTAGTTTTTAGTTTCCTTGTTGAGTTTTTCTAGGTTTCTGGAGTTCTTTTTTCTTTTCTCTTTGCTAAGTTATTGTTTTCCAGGTTATTGTGATTTCAGGTCTCGGAGATACTGGGATGTGCTTACTGTGCTGCTTCCCCATCTCAAGTTTTTACTGCTTATGTTTGACCTTGGGCTAGATATTCTAAACTGCAGTTTCTCCCTTGTCCTTGCCATGCTGTGGTACATAGAAGAATCCTAGATGGGACATATTGGCGCTTTTACCGTAATCATTTGGTGTGACCTTGGTCTAGTCATTGGTATCCTACACTCTAAAATAAGAACATGGTTGCATAATCTTATTATGTTGCTGCTATCCCGTGGCTCTGTATGAAGCAGATGAGAGATAGTATCTTAGGAAATTCTGCGACTTCTTGTTAATTACTAAGCTGCAAGTTTATCCTTTACGTGAGATGACAGAGTGTGTGACTGCTAGTTGCCATGTAGCTAAATTGTCTGGAAAACATTTTACATGCAAACCTGACTACAGTGGAGTGGATGGATCTGATCGCAAAGCATGATTGGGATAATCCATGGTTTACTCAGGCCTCGTCTTTCTTAGAAAGCCATGCCATTAAAATCATAGACCATTTTCTTAAGGTCTAAGAACAAAAAGCCCGAAACTGGGACAAATATTTGAGAAGTAAACCCAATTCTGAGTGTTTTCAACATGGCTTTCTTATGTGAAGGGAATTAAGCTGAAAATGACCTTTTCAGTTTGTCATATTCTGCTTTACCTTCTTTTCTTTGTCCACCAAAGATAAACTATTAATTTTTCATCTACCACCTGCCATTCAGTGAAAAACATTTGCTATATTCCATGTTTCCCCTTAGTGTAGTTAATGCAGCAGATGATAAGTTCTTATTTATCTTCTAGTCTCCCTACATTTGTCAGGTAATTATGGAACATGGGTTCTTGTTTTCACATTATGGCCTGCTGCTGTGTTTACTTTTTCTAACAGTACTTTTATGTTATCTGGAGCTTGAGATTGCAGAACCAATCTAAGCATGTGAAGGAAGAGATATTTATAAGGATGAAGCTATCATTAAGATCGAGGCTACTCTGCCTTGGGCAGGTGGACACCTCTCATTAAAGTTGGCAAAGCAAAAGTATATCCAAGTGGTCCACAGCCCAGCACAGAAGACCAGGGGTGAGAAGGGCAAACTAAGGTGTGACAACAAATAGAGATTACTGAGACAGCATCTGCCTGGAAAGAGCAGCTGTCAATTATAAAGGGCCCTGTACCAAATGGAAGATTGCATGCCGGATCTCTAGAAATATAGATGAACCACAATAAAACTGTGGATCACTATCACATGGTTTGATGAGAAATAACAGATGCTAAGAAAGTGGGGTGTGTGATGCAAGGATAAAGAAATGCTAAATATTTTCTTGTGGGTAAGGTATTGTTTGAAGCCCATATTTCACTAGTCTCTTCAAGCAAGTGAGGCATGGCTGAATCCACATTGAGGGACAGAAATAAAACTGTGAAAGCCGTGACCTCTCAGATGCAAGGTGGCTTATCCACCTTACCATTATAATTCCACTGCTGGTTTTGCTGTTCTATTCATAGATGGAGAATAACAAATATTTTCCATTTAACTTTTTTTCTTTTGGAGAAATTTAACTCATCTTCCTATTGAGTAAAAGCAGTATTCTGCTTCTGCTTTTGGTTTTCTGTTAATTAATGGAGAATGTTAGATATTTTTCATTTAAAAAATTTGGGGGAGAAATTTTAACTTCTTGACAGTTGCCTCTTTTCTTTAGGATTTGTGACTTCTTGTGGGATGTCATGATTTTTAGAAAATGGCTGTTAGACAGAACCTCGACAAAATAAAAATAAAATCCAAATGTTGGGTATTTTACTTTCACTTTGCAGAATATGCTTATAAGAAGTAATTAGCAGCCAGGTGTGATAGCTCATGACTGTAAACCCAACACCCTGGGAGGCTGAAGCAGGAGGTCCACAAGTTCAAGTTTAACAATTAAGCAAGACCCTGACCCAAAATAAAAAATAAAAAAAGACTGAGAATGTAGCTTAGCAAGAAGGCTCTGTCTTCAATCCCCAGTACCAAAAGAAAGAGGAGGAAGAAAAGGAGGAGCAGAAGAAGGAAAGGGAGGAGGAATATGAATTAGCAAAAACAAAGGGTGTAGCACTTGCTTAGATTTTGCTTGTGTAGAGATGTCTTCTTTGTGTATCAGTTGTCATTCAGATTTAATTTTTCAGCTCTCCTTTGACTCTGTGTCTTATCACTACATGAAAGAAAAAGTGTTCATACATGAAATCATAGAAATTTTAATGTTGAATTCTCCTAATTACTACTCCACTAAATTTCATTTCCTAAGTAATATAAAAGTTGATGTTACAGACTTTTAAAAAATGTGTTCTAGTTTGCTCCGTTATAAAACATAAGTACTGTTTCTAAGGAGGTATGTGTCTCTCTAAGAACTTTTGTGGATCTTGACTCTCATGAAATAGCTGCTTTATAAGTAGGTGGATTCGATATTTAATATATAATTGATGAATCTGAAGTAAGACATCCTTTTAACCATAGAAAATGTTATTTCTTTCTCAGTGAGAGTTTAACTATTTTACCCAAGAGTATGAAAAGAAAGGTTTGTTTCAGGAAAAACACATGCTTTCTTTCAAAGTTTTTCATGTTTTTATTCAGCACTTAATCCAATTATCTTAACAAATAACCATATGAACTAAAGTATTTTTTATTATCATTTAATCTTGAATGTGTATTTCAACTTCTTAAATCTCTCGATAGCCACTTTTGGATTCCCAGTCTAGAGTGAAAACATATGCCGCACAGCACTGAGAGATAACTTGCAGTGATATTATCATGGTTCAAACTGATGTGCATCTTCTTTTCTAGAGGAGTATATCAGAGAATTCCCTGGTAGCGATGGACTTCTCGGGTCAGAAAAGCAGAGTGATAGAGAACCCCACTGAAGCCCTTTCAGTTGCTGTTGAAGAAGGACTCGCTTGGAGGGTATTAATACTGTCACTTTCTTTAAAAATGTTTATGAATTCAGTGTGTTTTACCCAAAAAGTTGAGATGTGTTTTCCCCTTTCTTGCTCAGAAGAAAGGATGTTTACGCCTGGGCATTCACGGTAGCCCCACAGCCTCCTCACAGAGCTCTGCCACAAACATGGGTATGTCTGCTCGTAGCCCTTGCGGCGGAGTTGGCGGGCAGGTAGATGTGTCTTAGCGGCAGTCACCAAGTGCATCAGGTGCGAAGTCCATGCAGGGAAATTGTGATCATTTCAAACAAAACTGTCTTTGTTGATCTTATTTCCTCAGCTATCCATCGGTCTCAGCCGTGGTTTCACCACAGAATTTCTAGAGATGAGGCTCAGAGGCTGATTGTTCAGCAAGGACTCGTAGATGGGTGAGTTTGATATTTTTGGTTTGGAGTGGCAGTGATTTGGATTTCTCCTATAGACAGTCATTAGTCAGCATACTAAGCATGTTTAGTTTTGGCTTCTCATACAGTAGTAGCTTTGTTCTGTAATGGTGGTTCTCATGTCATATCAGTATCTGTACAATATGTGGTACACGATGTGTGCTTAGTATTTCTGTGTAAATTTTTTTCTAACGAATGTGCAATAATATCCATTATGTGCCAAGTCTAGCATCTTGGATATTCATGAAGGAAAAAAAAAACTAGTTGGGGTATTAACTGTGTAGTTTGAATGTATAATTAATATGATTCAAAAATGAGATTTGTGTCATGATGTTATATATATTGTACTTTGTAAGGTGTAAGGCAGGGTGTATTATGTCACTCCTTTTTCTTATATATTTTAAATGCGTGTTTACTTTTTTCCCTTTATGTCCCGTTTGCTTTTTCTCTAAATTTAAACAGCTAAAAATAATATAAGCTTATGAAAAGAGTACTGTTTGGTAACTTTTTCTATTATCTTTTAATGAGAGATCACAGAGTACACAGAGAATTATAAAATGTATTATGAAAGAGTTAGCATCCAAAGGGTTTTCCTCTTCAGTTACTCCATTATTAGCCTGCGTTTATAACACTCGCTGAATTCCCTTCCCAAGTGGAGTACAAATAAGAGATTGTATTGAGGTTTGGATGAGAAATTACACAGTTTCAACTTAAACAAGTGGGGATGGGCTCTTTTATGTTTAAAGCTTGGCTTTAAATGATGTCAAGGATTTGAGCTGATTTAATGTTGATATTTAGATAAAAAATTTGTCTTCACAAAGATGATTATTAATAGTGAGTTAGCATTCCACTGACTCTGAGATTTTATATGCATGGATAATAGTCTTTTGGGATATAAATTTGAGTAATCAGAGGAAATACAGTCTCATGAGTCTAAGAAAAATATAAGTCACAGAAAATTATTTAAATGTTTTGGAGTATCACAGTTTCCTTTACTTCTGACCTCAGTATTTGTAGACAGAGTGAAATACTTGTATGAAGAGTGACGACCTCTTTATTTTTTCTGTATTTCTTTGGGAAGATGTGATGGTGACAAGTGGTCCACTAGGTGGTAGTGGAGATCTTCTTGGGAAGGGAAAAAATTAACAGCTTAGTTTTGCCAGTGAAACACCCTTTTGTCCCTTCACCCAGTGATACAGCGTCGGAATCTCACACAACACAAACGAAGTGGATAATCTCCTCAGACATCTGTAGAGCCTCATATGTAGCTGCCTCTGCCCAGGCACAGTGAGATTTGTATTGGAGTCACCAGTGGGAACTATTTACACAGTGTGTTTGCCAGTAATTTATACAAAACTGGTTTTTCCATTGTGGTGCCAATAAATAAGAATCCATAGCTGGCAGCCTTTCTTCGTTTGGCCATTAGACCAAGTGTTATTTTTCTAGCCTGATGTTAGAGAAACTTTTCTGCTGTGTTCTTCAAGGTTAAAGTGTATGTTTTGGGGTGCTTCTTTTACTTAAAGCATTTTGCTTACATTTCTTAAGTAATTTTTATATTATTTTTATAATATATTCATCTCTTACTTTCTGTTGTATATATAATCATAGAAACAAGAATCAAAAGAAGAAAGTGGAGCTCAGTGTAGAAGTAGGGGGTAAAAAAATTATTTCATTCTAAGTAATTATCTCTTTTGAGGGGGGTCTCCATGACACATAGTTAACATATAACATACTAGTGCATTATTCTTTGTGATAAAGAGTTACATGATAATATCCAATTTCCCAATGGAAAAAGAAAGTAGTACTAATTATCGATGCCAACATAATGTTATATTGATTATTGCAAACAAACAGTAGAGAAATAGGCTATATATTTATCCTATTAAAATTACATTAGCACTGATGATAGTTTTATAGCATAAGATTTTGTTACAACGTATTGTTGTCAAGTGTATAATCTTGCTGGTACACTGAATATAGAGCAAAGGAATCCCTAGCTACCACATTTATGAATACACTTCTTGGATTTGTTACACGCTATCTATGAAATCCATAAGTAAATGTAGAAACATATTGAAATTCCTTCTCTCTCTTTAGAGTTTTCTTGGTCCGGGATAGTCAGAGTAACCCCAAAACTTTCGTACTGTCAATGAGTCATGGACAAAAAATAAAGCACTTTCAAATTATACCAGTAAGTAATTTGTAATTTCACATTCATATATTAGAAATGATCTTAATGCGTATGCTTTTGGAAACTTAGATTTTTCTTTTGTTCTTTTTATTGAATATAATTTGGGAGCTTGTGCTTTGACTAGAGTTAAGTTTGGCAGAAATGGTTTTAGGAACCTGAATTAATATAAGAAATACAGGAATTGTAAAAATTAAATTTCCCTTTTTCTATGAAATATGATTTAGCAATACCATATAGACCTTATGCCACCTATTGTTAAAAGGCCACTAAAGAATCTCCTGAATTCTCCTAACAGTTCTTTAAAAAAAATCTTATTTTTAAAGCTCTTTCTCCTCTCTTTTCTCAAAAACAAGTTTTTTGATGTTGCTTTGCTGGTTTGTTTTTAATCATAATGGATAGCCACTGAGGAGCCGTGGAGATGGTGGACATTTAAATCATTCTGAGAACATTTTTAGAATTTCTGTGATTTCTACTTCTGGGTAACACAGTTTGCTTTCCGTTGCTTCTGCTGTGTGCTTCTACGTGCATGTGCATGTGTGTTTGCGTGTTCTGTATTTTGGAATCAAGTAGTGTACAATAGATTCATTCTGCTTTCAGGTGTTAGGTAAGATTGCTAAATACATAATGCTTCCTTTTAGTTGCCTCTGTGGAATTATTCCAAAGGCATATAAAGTATCCTTCCTGTTTCTTTGATTATATGATCAGTGTCTCCAAGTCTGAATTGTTTAATGCTGGAAGCCTCCCCCCACAAAAAAAAAAAAAACCCAGAAAAAAAACCCACTGGCATTCCATTAGCAAATTATATAATTGCTTTAGAACCAACTTGCTGTTGTAATTATGTGAATATTAGTTTTAATATACCAAGTGAGGCATTAAATAGACAATATTTAGAAATGGAAGTTAATTTCTGTAAGTGGGAACATTAAACTCTTTTGCTTGCTTTTATACCAAATAGTACAGATTCTCACAGTTGACTGATTCAAAATAGTTATACTATCCTAACTAAACAGAATACTGTTTCTGGGAGAATTAGAAGTATAGACACGGAAGCCACATTGTTGCTCCAAAGACCATTCTTTTAAATGCAAGTGACATTGCGAAAAAGAAGTGGGCATGCTATAGTGTTCTTTTCACTCTGCTTAGTTTTATAAACTTGTCAGTTTTGGCATATGAAGACATTGTGTATGCAATGAAATAGGAGTGTCCTTCTGGCTGACGTGCTGTCTTTACCAAGTTGTTGCTTTTCTTATTGCAGGTTGAAGATGACGGTGCAATGTTCCACACTCTGGATGATGGCCACACAAGATTCACAGATCTAATCCAGCTGGTGGAGTTCTATCAACTCAACAAGGGTGTTCTTCCGTGCAAGTTGAAACATTATTGTGCTAGGATTGCTCTTTAACCAATCCAGAAGTGACTTGCTAAACTATTGAAGAAGAAGGACTCAAGGGGAAAAAATTAAAGAGAGACAATAAATACAAATGAAAACTATGTGATGTGAAAAGAATGTATTTCACCTGCAAGTTGCAAAACAAAGTTTGTGGATGGTAAATAAGCAAAGACTTGGATTGGCATTATATTCATCATTTAAAATTTATTAGTTAAAATTAAACCTTAGGGAAAAAATGACTTTGTGTGTTCATGTGTGACTTTATATTACTACATTTTCTTCAAATATGCACACTACAAATATCTATCTGTCCGTATTTACTATAGCAGCATTAGATTCTCAAATACAAACAATGAAAAATAAATTGGTTCAAAATGATTTTTCAAAAATTATGCTGCTTTTTTAATAGAAGTATGGTAAAAACTTGAATAATAAATGAAACTACCCACAATTTGTTAATATAACTAAAAACTATTTTCAATTCTATGTTTTCTGGGTATAGTATAACAATAAAATCAAATCGTATTTTTGAGGTAGCAGCTTAAAATTATTTTGCCATAAATTGATTTTTTTCTGGATTAACTTTCATTATGGTATGGGTTACTAATTAGACTATAAAATCTATACTAGTACTGTAATAATTAATGGTACATTGTTCCTTGAATGTTTAAAATTTTATTTAATGATTGGCTAGAAATATCTTTTTAAGAAGATGATCAAAGTATAGAAAAGATTCAAATAATTTGTACACGTTTCATGACATATAGTAATTCAGATCCTTTTGCTGGTAGATCATTAGCCTAGTCAAACTAGGTGACGTCAAAGATTAGAAATCTATATATCCTACTAGGTAAATCCTTACTCTTCTCTATCTTTATCCTCTTTTAGCTTCTTATCATAGCAGCATGAATATGGAAGCCAAAGATTTTGATGACTTGAGACACCGAGACTCTTTTGAGGTTCTCTTACCTTCTCTCTAACACGGTCCGGGAAGTGTTTTTATTTTTATTCTCTGTTCCCATTTTTATTGAAGATCATTGTTCTAAACAAAAGGAAAAGAAACAAAACATGAACTGAACATTTCCATCTTATAAAATATTGCCTATCGGCTGTAACTGACCTTTATAACAACACTGTAGGATAGCCAGATTTTTTTTAAACAAAATTCAAGTATGCATACTTTAGTTTTAGATCAAAACTATACATTTTTGGTAACAAAATGTGAAAAATACTCCTGAAGTGCTATTAAAATTATCACTTAAAATAATTATCTGTTAAATTTTAAAATATTCAATTTACTTTTACACTGTAAACATTTTTTCTAAAGTACTGCAAGTTAAAACATTAATCTAATGTTACAACATCCTGGTTTGATTTGAACAAAAGCTTGGAAGACAGGATTTCTAAGCGGAACAGTGGGAAGTAAACATCCTTGCCCCTTTCAACCTTTCAGAATGGACCTGAGTATTTCAGATTTATTTCCAATTTATAAAAACACCTTGTGTTTTGAATTGGATTGCATTTACTCATTTCATACCCAGTTCAACTAGGTAATGTCATAAAATATTAAACTCTGATAAATACTAAACTCTGATAAATTGACCAGTTCTTGCTTACCTTTATGTGTCTGTGACTTCATTCATAACCTAAAGTTATATTTGGGGAACCAGATATTATATGTAATTGTTTTCATTGCTCTTAAGTCATAGGTCAAGGAAAATTATTGCAGAAAGATGGATGAAATCATTTTTTTGATTCCTTCTGAAAATGGGTCTTGCTTGCTTCTCTCTGTGCATGTGTGGGTGAAAGAGAGAGAGAGAGAGGATATTTAATATGGATATCAAATCTGAGAATGTCAGATATTTTCATATTTACTAGAATGTTAAAATGCATTCCCTAGAAACTGAATTACCTTTGGGTTGTCTTCCATCTTGATATAGCTATGTTTGGTTATTTTGCACCATTTTAGATGCAGATGAGGATAAATTAACTGATTTTTGCTAACTATTCAAACGTTGGAGTTAGAATGCTTCACCCTCTCCAAAAGGAATGCAGTAGACCTTCTGATCCCTGGTGTTCTTTTTTTTTTTTAGATAGGGTCTCTTGAACTTACTATGTAGCCCAGGCTGTCCTAGAACTCCTGACAATCCTCCTGCCTCAGCCTTCCAAGTGTTGAAAGTACAGGCATGTTCCACCATGCCTGGTTGGTTTTTTAATTTTCTTATATTGAAGGATCAGGTAATTATTTTGAAACATCTAGAAGACCTAATCAGACAAGGTAAACATTCCTAGGAGCGCTTTAAAAGGATCATTACTTGTTTTGCGTGTATTGGAGTGTAATCTCTGCCTGATCTGAGTAGATCAGTCGGTCATCATTGTGTTAGTTCTATTGTAGGGCAGTCAGCATTAGTTAATCTGAGTCTTCTGAGGTCTGTAGCTTGTGTACACCAACAATAATAACTCCACTCATGGCAGTTGTATTCCTCAGATGCCGGATTCTTTCCTGGTCATGACTTCCCGAGGTGGAGTGACTGCCATTTGTAATGGCTACAACTTGGGTGGCCTTGCTTGCTTCACTGTTTACAAGGGCACTCTTAGTCTTTGTGTGCCTCAGATCCATTCTGCAGGCTGGTGAAGCCTACGAGCTCCTAGTCACAAAATGCCCTTAAATATGTAAAATAAAATAAATAGAATTTCAAAGCAAAATAATTGCATAGAGACATAACTGTAGAATGGAGTATATTGGTGATCCTGTGTCTTGCTGCACAGTGTCTGGCTGTTGACAGTTACCCATGTAAGTCCTCCAGTTTTCTATCTCGTATTCATGTCTTTTCAGGGATGGAATAGGTAATCCACATTGTTAATGATGCCACCAATAGTATGTAGAGAAGTTTGCATGAAATGTACAGTCACCGTACCACTTGCTGAACATTTAATTCAGCCCAACTCCATGCCTCCCTATGGTAGGATTGCATCACCCTGGCCAGTACTGGCTCCTGTGCTTTTACCATGCATGACATTTAGGGGTGCTCATAACTGGAGTACTGCTTCTGATGTCTCCAACAGCTCCTCACAGCACAGATTAGAGATTTGTATAAGAGAAAGGCCAGCTTCTGGTTGAACACTTAGTAATCACCAAAAAGCTCATTGCAGAAATTCCCCAAATGAATTTCTCACTGGCATAAATACTTGCTTTGCAGTTGGAGTATCATGTGATTAGTCTTTGCTATGCTGATATGCTTTGTAAGCATAAATAATTCACTCTTTTCTAATTTAACCTAACATAATACACAAGGTATTAGGAACTAGAGTTAAGACACTGGTTCTGGCATCATACATTTTAGATTTGGATTCTGGCCCATTCTTACCAAGTGTGTAGCCTTAGTCAAATCAGTTTCATATCTTAATGGCGGGGACCTTTATCACCACTACCACTTCACCATGGTCCTCATCACCACCATCACTTCTTAAATTGTCTTGGCAGTTGAAATAAAATCTTTCATAACAAGTGCTTAGCACATTGTGTAGAATCATATACTGTGTGTGTGTGCTTTGGGAAAATGTCTGTGTTTGTAATATTGTTTATATTAGCGATTGCATATCTAAGTCCTCCACCTCCTAGGAACAGTTGTCTTCCCACACAGTGCTCTTGTGATGGCACCTGTTGTTTGCCCTTCCTGCCAAGGGCAACATGGTGTGTTTTTATACTGTGCCTCTGCCCATCCTGGATTTGTTCCTTTCTGTAAGGCTGCTTTTAAGTAAGCAGTGATGAACACAGCAGCAGGGTCCTGCCCAGTCCATTTGGAAGGGCTTGGAGACAGTCATACTGTGGTCACCTGTACTGGACCATACAGATGCCCATGCTCTTATTCACCGGCTGATTAAAGCTATAAACTATGCTTGGGAATTCTTAACACTATCTAACCCCCTCTCTCCAATTACAGTGACTGTTAGAATGAGAAATACAGAAGATTGAAAACCGGCTTTATAGCCCTTGCCTAGACAGGGTGGAGAAATTGAAAAAACTCTTTTATGTGACAGATTCGCCTGTGAGACATTAGTAAAGTTTTTCTGAGTGAATGCATCCCTCCTCTGGCTAAATTCGTGCAGATGTACCTGATCCCCTCAGACTTTCATTTTATGTGAGCATTCTGACTAGACATTGAAAATGATGCTCTTGCATTGTGTGCTTGTCAAGTTCACTCCAGCACCTTTCACCTTATGAGGTGAAAGCCATCTTCAGAGATGCAAAATGGGATAACACAATGTAGATGGACAAATACCTATCCTAGAATGCAGGTGTGGTAGGTGTTACACTATAAATACAAAAGGAGAGGGTCGTTGGACACACTTGCTCAAGCATGGGAGGAATGAAGTGGAGTCTTGGGAGCCCTGTGCAAGTTAGACTTACAAAGCCTGGAGAAAGGACTGGACCTTGTCATTGGGGGTGGGGACAGTGCTAGGCAGCTGGGAGAGGACATAGGTTAAACTTAAAAAAGTTTCTCAGCAAATGATAACTTCACTGTAGTTCAAGTATATGGGACATTCTAACAGGAAAGCCTTGACAGATAGGGCTGGAAAGTAAGCTCCTGTTGCACTCAGTGGAGTTCCAGTGTCGGGAAAAGCAGGTTATATTTTAGTTAGGTAAGGATGCCACCAGGTGTCTTATTATTTTACCCCTCTGATTTTTTTGCCTCCCTGAAATCATGGATAGGCTTGTATACCTTGTATCTGCTTCGCACATTGAAATTCTCAAAATTATCTACTGAATGAATAAGTGAACTTGTTCTCCTTGTATTCTAGAAGCAGCTTAGTAAGTGGAGTTAGATATTACACTTGATCTTAGCAAAAAGGCGGAGAAGCAGTAACAATCTGAAGTTAGAAAGGGAACTTTGAGTAACGTGAGTAAGGTAAGGAAGGCACCTGAAGGAGGATGACCCAGCAGAGAGCTACTGTGGTAATCTCGGCAGTAATCGAAAGAGCCTGCTGGAGGCTGAGACATGAAAGAGTTTTGTGGAGGTGAGTCATCAGTGATACACGCAATTGGATGAGAGGAGAAGGAAAGGGAGGAGTCTAAAATGATGAGTAATTTTAGGGCCAAGGAGAGTGGGAGATTGATATCTGGTGAGAAACTGATGATTTTAACAAATGTCCTAAAGTTTTTTAGAGTAAGAATTAGCTTCAGAATCTTCCCACAGTAAAGTGAAACCTTAATGCAGATGCGGAAAGGAATAGTCAAGCACAGAGAATTTGTTTCACACAGGAAGTTAATAACTAGGACAGAAGTAACACCTCAGTGAAACAAAGGGCCTAATGAGATGGTGGAAGTTGGAACCTGAGGAGAACGATGACCCTTGGCAAGAGCTGTGGGGTGAAGAACCGCCATCAACAGAGCTTGTGCTTGAGCCCAAAGGCAAAAATTAACATGATGTGCTTGAGGAACAAACGAAACCCAGCATTGTGTGTGAAGGGTAAGGGGAGAATGGTAAAGAGGACAGTGAAGGCACAGGTAACATTCAAATCATAGAGGCCCTTCAGGCCATGGAAAGGAATTTGAACTTGATCTGGAAGGGTAATGAAAGCCATTGGTGGCTTTTAAAGCAACTAAAGGGCTAAAATAAGATTTGGGTTTGGATAAGATCCCTCTTGAAGCCTATGAATCATGGATTTGGAGTGTGTAAGAATATATCTTTCTACCTTCACTTATAGTAGTAAAAGTACTTTAAAATCAAAGATCAATAGAATGGTCCAAATCATAATGGATGACGATGTATCTACACTGATAGGGAAAAATTTCTACAGCTGTTAAACTCGTGTATGTGCTAGAAGGATGTTCCAAAAAAAAAAAAAAATCATAGAAGTATTTGACCCTGATGTCCCTGTCACATAAAATTAGTGGGGTGTTGAAGTACCTTTATATTTTGCTTTATTTTTTTACCATGTATCTTTATGAATGATTGTATTTTTTATAGTCAGAAGAACATCTCTTTTTTGCTTTAAGGAAAAAAAATACTTAACCTGTGAGAGGAAATTATTTCAGAAATTTTATTCTGTCTACTTTCCTAAGTTTGACTACATTTGTTTGTTTTTTCTTGATTTGACCTGCATTCTTTTCTAGGAAAATACTCATTTGGATTATTGGGTGCCCCGTGCACCTAAGCGTGCTGCTGTCCTGCCACAACACATGAATTCATTATTTCCTAGTAATTCTCAATGGACAATGGACACAGATCTTAGCAGATGTCTGTCTATTTCTTAAGAAAAGAAGTCTAAATTTAGGTTCTCTTCCTAGTCTGGTCTTTGTAACTCAAAGGAACCAGAGAATTTTCATTAAAAGAGACCTGTTTTTAACTTCTGAAGCTAGGCCAGCTCCCAGCGTTTTATCCTGGAGTGCTGGGAAGGATTACAAAGTGCCTTCAGCATCAAACTCCCTAGCGGCATTTCCTAGACACACATGAATCCCACACAGGTCCTGGGGAGTCTGAAGTGTGTTTGAGCATATTTTCTAAAAGGATATTACTTTCTGGTTGCTGTACATTGTAATATAACATTTTACTACATCAAAAGAAAATAACTTACCTGGAATTGCAATAA